TTGGGGGATATTATCGTCGTTTCATCAAGGACTACTCTAAAATAGTGAAGCCACTTAATGATCTGACCTCAGGATATCCTCCGCTAAGAAAGGGTGCCAAGAAGTGTAACAAAGGAAGCCAGTACCATAACCCAAAAGAGTCCTTTGGTGATCGATGGACGCCTTCTTGTGAAGAAGCATTTCGAACCCTTATAGAAAAACTCACTTCTGCACCTATTCTGGGATTTGCTGACCCCAAACTGCCTTATTTTCTCCACACTGATGCAAGTACAAAGGGACTAGGGGCAGCACTTTATCAAGAACAGGATGGGCAGATGCGTGCAATAGCATTCGCAAGCAGAGGGTTGTCTCACAGTGAGTCTAGATATCCTGCTCACAAACTTGAATTCCTTGCCCTAAAATGGGCAGTGACTGAAAAGTTTAATGACTACTTATACGGTAACCATTTTACCGTTATTACAGATAGCAACCCTTTGACTTATATCCTCACTACAGCAAAATTGGATGCTACAAGTTATCGATGGCTGTCAGCTCTTTCCACCTTCTCTTTCAAATTGCAATACAGAGCTGGCAAGCAGAATGTAGATGCGGATAGTCTCTCAAGGAGACCCCAGGAACCCATTCCTGAGACTGCTTGGTCCAGTAAAGAGCAGGAAAGAATCCATCAATTTGTACAACACCATCACCATGATGCTGCTGACATTGTTAGTGCCCCAAATGATGTAGTTCATGCTATTTGCGAAAAGCACCTTATCAATCAAGACGCAGCTTCTGGGGTTGCACTGGTGGGATCACTTGCACTCCGTCCTGATGCTATACCTGATGAGTATGGAGAGGATTGTAATTTAGATGGATTACCTGTTATGCCTTACCTACCACATGAGATTGGTGAAAAGCAGAGAGCAGACTCAGTCCTTCGAGAAGTCATTTTCCACTTGGAGTTGGGGGAGAAACCTTCTCCTACAGTGCGAAAAGAGATTCCAACTTTTCCTCTTTTTCTAAAGGAGTGGAATCGACTTGAGTTGCGAGATGGAATACTCTATAGAAGAAGGCAGGAAAATAATTTACTCACTTACCAACTAGTACTCCCTGAGGATTTAAGACCCTTGGTGATGAGCAGTTTACATGATGACATGGGTCACCTAGGGATTGAGAGGACTGTAGATCTGATTCGATCTCGTTTCTACTGGCCAAAAATGGCTGCAGATGTGGAACGAAAAGTCAAGGAGTGTAGTCGCTGTGTGCTTAGGAAGGCACAACCCCAAAAAGCAGCTCCTCTGGTCAATTTTCATGCCACTAGGCCATTACAGCTGGTGTGTATGGATTTCCTTTCATTGGAACCTGACAGGAGTAATACCAAAGATATCTTGGTTATTACGGACTTTTTTACCAAGTATGCAGTGGCTTATCCTACACCTAATCAGAAGGCTAAAACAGTAGCAAAGTGTCTTTGGGAGAACTTTGTCACACACTATGGGTTTCCTGAACGCTTGCATAGTGACCAGGGCCCTGATTTTGAGTCGCATGTCATCAGAGAGCTCTGTGAAGTGTCAGGCATAAAGAAAAGCCGAACAACTCCCTATCACCCGCAGGGAAACCCGGTTGAACGCTTCAATAGGACCCTGCTGGGCATGTTGGGTACTTTGGAGGAGAAAGATAAAGCCCATTGGAAAGACTTTGTCAAGCCACTTGTCCATGCGTACAATTGTACGAAGCATGAAGTCACTGGGTTTACTCCTTATGAATTGATGTTTGGCAGACAGCCAAGATTGCCTGTTGACCTTGCTTTTGGTCTGCCTCATCATGGGAAATCAGATGTCATTCCTCATTCAGAGTATGTGAAACAGCTGAAATCACACTTGAAGGAAAGCTATTTGCTTGCTTCACAAGGTATGATGAAAACTGCTGAAAAGAACAAAACCAGGTTTGACAAATCTGTCACTCATTCTTCTTTGGAGGTCGGGGATCGTGTCCTGGTGCGAAATGTCAGACTGCGTGGTAAGCACAAGTTAGCGGACAAGTGGGAATCTGAGGTGTATGTGGTGGTAAAGAAGGCTGGCGACTTACCTGTCTACACCGTTCATCCTGAAAACAGTGAAAGTCCCCTTCGTACCCTTCATAGGGACCTTCTTCTTCCTTGTGGTTACCTGCCATTGTCAAACAGTTCAAACCCCTCCCCACCCAAAATGTCAAGACCTAGAACAAGGCAGAATCCAGGTTTCCAACAACCTGAAGAGGATTGTTCTTTCCTTAGTCCAGAAGATGAGGATTATGAGTGGTATGGTGATAACCATCAAAATGTGGAACCATTGCAGTTCTCTACAGTGTATGATGTTCCCCAACCAGTAAAAGGGAAGAGTGTGTCCTTAGCTGATGAATCAGCTGGTCAAAACCTCGGAAAAGATGGAACTCAATGCAAGGAAGGAACTCAAAATGATAAAATACCTGTAACTCCTCCAGTTGACAACTTACCTGATGATCTTTCAGCCAATGATCCTCC